GTCAAGTGTCTGGAACTAAAATCGGACACTCGACTTTCCGAACCACCAGTCAAACTGACGAACGCCTGCTTCCTTTTCCTGAACAGCTAGGAGAGCGCTGTTCGGTAGATTTGTTCACACAAACGAGGGGATCAATCGCTACTATGAGCGGGAGGGATCCATTCATGCATTATTTCATTTATTTGGACTTAACGAAATTGTCACGTACTCATCCGCTTACAAAAATGTGGTTAATGGCATTTACTGTCCACACAGAAAAAGTTGTACCGAGCAGCAACCAAATCCACAGAAGGGTTAATGCTGAGCAGCAAGTATGCAAATGGGAACCTGGTTACTGCCTTTGGGGTCAAAGGCTGGTTACAGCCTATCAGATCTAGAGGAGGGGTATTTAGGCCCAGTTCTCATCCTGCTCAGTGCCCTGTCGTGGTTTCCCTTGTGGTTGTCCGAGAGCGCGTTATTGATTCTGGTTATTCTGGTAATTTGACTTTGGCATTGTTTTTGACTTCCCTGTTTTCTGGCACCCCTGACTCCTGGCTGTTCCTTATCGTTGTGTCTCTTTCTGTATCCCTTGACTTCGACTATTCCTGACTATTCTTTGGTACATTAGTCCGACCATTCTAAGGTCCGGTATACGTTACCTATCAGTCCTCTGGGTTATACAATTCTATGTGCTGGATCATTCTGTAATCCTGACAGAAATAGACCGACCACACAGCCTGAAATCATGGAACTGTTTTGGGCAGGAGCCTCGTGTGCGGTCGGTCAATTGGGACTTCCATGAAAATCGAAAACCCCTGAACCGATCTGGGTGATTTTTGGATATGTTGATCACCCAGATCAGGGCTATCAGGGGATAGGACATTTGTGGGGGCCCTGTGTGTTTTGGGGTGTTTTTAAAAGATTGTAAAAATTGTGTTACCTCTGCCTGGAGATAATTGAGTTATTACTTTATCTGACCCAATAATCTCCAGGCAGAGAAGAGGGGGTTTACTGTTTGTGCTGGGAGTGTCCCTGTTCTGTATTTTTATTGGATATACTAACTTACCACAAGGTCCATGGAGGTGTTCCCCTGGCCTGAAAACTTGCATAAAAGCCAGAGTGGCACAATAAAATTGATTCCTGTTAAGCCCTTCATCATGTTTCGGCTGATGTTTGGGTACCCGATTACTGCTTTGGCTTGAGCGCTTCACTTACTCTGGATTATTAGGCAAACGGAGAACCGAACTGCGAGCTATAATCACTCTTGCTCTTTGCCGTTCGGTTGAAAACAGATGAACCGCTAGCTACCACTTCAGGGTTCTTTCCAGGAGTTTTTATACTTGCCAGACTTGATGCTTGAAACAATTCTAGGTAATTATCACAGTGATGTTTTGTTTACTATTTCCAGATACATTGACAAACAGATATATTTTATGGAATGGCCGTGCCATAGATAAAGGTTGGCATAATAATGGAATATATGTTTTCCACAAGTTAACCTTTATTGTTTGAATTTCTGCCAATCATTAAGGACAGTTAAACAGGTGTACACCCACAATGACAATCACACATGCACCCATGCTCCTCAAACTGAATCATTTTCAGAGTGATCATTTCATATCCATTCTAGATATAGCTTTATTTCTCACTCACCAAAGACATTGATAGATGCTTTCGCTGATCCTTCTACATATGTTTCTGGAAGGTCTAGCTTTACTTTTTCTTCTACAGAGCCTCCTGGAGAAAATCACAATGGTTATATTAAATAATAGTAATTAGTATTCCATGAATTCAACAAAAATGTTCCCAAGTAACTCATGGCAACATTTTGAAGGTGATGAAGCATGACACTGGGAATTTTAAAATATCACATTTTTTGCCAAACCTTTGATTTCATTGTGTAATACAGATAATATATGAAGAAAAGCTGATTGATACGAAGATGTCTTGGTGCCTTGTATGTTACTTTAAATGAGTGGCAGAACATTTTGTTAATGAGATGAGAATGGATGGGCTGGTTCAAACAGACAGGAAGGCTACAATGACTTTTTTGCATGTTTATATCTGT